GGGTGGGGGTGGTAAAGCTCACAAAACAGGCAGGGATTGGAAAGGAGCAGGACAAGCAACTGCTAGGAAGTCGGCGAGTGCAGTCACATTGCGACGGCAAACAACGGCGGGGAACAAACGGCTGAGAATGACTGACTAAAAAACCAACGTGTTCCACTTCCACCCAAGCCACAAGGAAGAGTTAAAGTCCATAAGCACGTGTCTCATTTATTCCAAAAGCAGCAACGACACAAACAACAGAAAGAATTACATTCTTGGAAGCCTGTGTCCAGCAGTTCTACTCTGTCCCTCAGGGCCACGCTGTGAGTCGGGATTAACTCGACGGCAGCGGGTTTATTTCTTATTTGCCATTGCCACGTCCAGCCCTGATCTGCCCTCGGAATCCTTTATCTGTAAACAGGAATGTTTAAAGGACTGGTCTCACGGGAGTGCCGGTCATAAGGAGTAGTAAGAAGCTTCAGTGGGCCCCTGGCCTCTTCCCTGGGAAGAGAATGTGCTGACCTAGTGGTGCATAGAGCCAGGGGGCTGAGCAGTTAAGCATGACCTTGAAGGCAGCTGCTCCGAGATGCACGTGAGCGCACAGAATTTTGGCTGAGCGTTGGTGTTCCTCATTGGAAAGTGCCCCAGAGCCCTGACGTGGATGAGCACATCGGCCGAGTGAGCTCAGTCCCCAAAGGACAGACAGATTCTACGGGATCTCACGTGGATGAAATGCACGCATGCATAGAGGCTCTCGCGATTTACTGATTCCCTTTGATGATGAAGTTCTAATCACAAGTTCAAGTTCCCATTCCACAAGTGCTACCCAAGTTGTTCAGTGACATGGGTGACGAGGTGTTTTTTTTGCAACGTGTCAATCTTCTCGTTAGGATTGGAGTCAGCCCCTGGCCATGGACCTCCTCCCGTGCCAAAGGACATGGAATTCTTACTAGTGCTTGTTATCAAGTCTCAGAGAACAACGTGGCACGGGGATCATTGTGAATCGCCCTGGCGTCGATGGGGCTTAGACGGCATGAATGCTGACCACAAAATAGTTTTGTAAAAATCTTTCCTCGTTGAATCACCACATTACGACGTTATCAAGTAACTGAGTGGAAGCCTTTTCAATTCCCCTCCCCTTTATTGCCCTTATCCTTGCATTGCGACTTCACTCTTTAAAAAAAAAAAGCTATTGCTGTGGCCTGTCAAATACTACTGACCACCATATTGTTGCTAAAGCCCCAGAAAACAGCAAAATCGTTGACTAGAATAACATCCGCGGCCACAAAAACAACAGCATATGCTTGTCGTGCCTGCAGACAAACCATATGATTTGAAGGCGGCTTTGTCATTGGGTAATAAAGACAGGCTTC